GCAACTTGTAATAACAAAATGTTAGCATCAATAAACTGTACTTTAGGAAGTCACTTTTTCACAAAAGGCAGATCTGAAGCAGAACTTCTAAAACCGCCAGTTGAGACCTGTGATTCAGTATTTCAACATTGCCTATTTTTTGATGATGCTTATTTCCATTCCAGTTCTTGTGATCTGATGATTAACCCAGTGAAGTAATATATAATCTTTTAACCTTCCCTGGCCTGTCTTGCAGTAGTCACAGGAAATCTATTCCCAAACCAAAAACAAATCTTCTTTGATAGCAACATAGTGAGTAAAAAACAGTACTGTAATGTTAGGGTGAATGAATCATAGTAGCGGAGAGGAGAGGAGAGGAAAGTCTAGATTCTTTAATTTTGGGGGAATATGTTTTGCCTGTAAGTAGTTGAACTTTATGCATTTCTTTATTTTAAAGTAAGAAATAGATTAATTATATGAGAGTTAATTGTTTTATTAAACACTGAAGAATGTATTGGAAAAGAAACTGTTCCCAACATCAGTCTTTTCTCTTGTGCGCTTGTATTGTGAAATAGGTAAAAGTTGTGAAACTGATGATTGTAGTGTCTGAGAAATGAAACTTATGAGGGTTTTTTTTATTATTGCAGATGTTCTAAAGAATTGACAAATTAAATTTGAGGAAGCAATAAAGTTTTCTGCATTTGTTTTCATTAAAATAAACTGCTAAACCCTGCAACTGCATAACTTTATAGTGATTCTAACCTGTATATTGCTATCCAGTATACTTACGTAGCTGTGATTTTATTTTAGTTTGGAGTAAAGCATAAAATGTACAGACCATAGACACAGATAAAATTCGTTTAATTTTTTTCAACTTAAAATAGTGCTGTATTTTTAAGGTTTATTTTAAACATAATGAAAAAAACAGGAGAAAGAAAGAGAATCTTAAACTGAAAATAGTTGACATGAAAACTAAATAACTAAAGTTGTCTATAACATGGAATATTTTACAGTTACTACTGAAAAAAGGCTTTAAAAGAAGAATAAAATGAGCTTTTTACAATTGTCCTTAATTTTTGTAAATCACGCTTTCTGAAATGGAAAATGTTTTGTTCCTCTCTGGAAGAAAATATTTTAATTTAAGTCAGACTGTTCACTTTTTGATTGTAGGTGATTGTATCAGATTACAAACATCATTAAAGCATGACCATTTACTTTTTAAAAAAAATTAAAGTAAAATGTTAATTTATGTTTATGCTACTTAACAGAGACTCAAAATCTATCTGTAATTCAGTTGTATTATAATTATGTTCTTTAAATGTTTTGCTAAATGTTACCTCACAGCTTTTTTGCGAGAGGGTTTGTTTCAAATTCTAACTCATAAACATATAATAGTAAAAATTACATGCAATCTACTTCTGTTGTAATATAGCACATACCTGTTTGAGTAACTGGATTTTAATGTCTTATAAAATTATTTTAAAGATATATTAAATCTAGTTTAATACAATACTTTGTAAAAACTTTAATAGGTTTAAAGTGCAAATGTCACTTTAATTCCATGAACATTGTGAAATAGTTGGCAAAATAGGAACTGAAAGTGTCATGATCATATCCAATATTGTTAAATACCTAGAGCAGCATCTTATGAAATTCCTATGCAGATGGCAGCATTTTCTTTAGTTTATCCTTTCAACAAAGATGTACATTCTGCTTTTGAAGTAAAATTGCCTTTTTTAACAATACTTTAATAAGCTTTTTCCAACATCAATAAAATTGACAGCAGGTACGCTTTTAAAACAGTATTTCCACGTTGTTCTTCATTAGGCCATTGGAATGGCTGTTTTTTCCTTAATTTGTGTTGCACTTAATGACTTTTATTGGTGGCTGTGTGATCATAGTGAAATTTTAAAAGGGTCTCACTTCCTCTCTGCTCACGCCTAACTCACATTAACCTTAGTGGAAATTGTGTGTGTACTGAGCAAATGAGATCCTTACATGTGTCACTTCTCTTACAAGTGCTTATACATTAAACTGTTCCATACTTGTTTTCAATTCAGAAATAATTTTGAAGAAATTTTAGTATGAGAAGCAGCCACCCAGACTAATCAAGAGCAACGTGTTTGACATATGAAAAGTTTTGGTCTATCCTACTCCATAGATCAGTTGTTATTTACAGCCACAACTTTTAACTGGTGACTAAAATGTAGGTATATTTTTGTAATTATTGCATAACAAGCTGCTTTCTTTAATGCCTAGAATTTCCCTGGTTGCTTTATCCAGAAAGTCTGGTAACACAAAACCCCTTAACATAATTTCTTATAAATGCAAAAATAGAAGATAAAATGGTGGAAAGCATTGATAATCTTGCAGTAGTTTCTCTATTTATCTAAAAGGCAAGATGGTACCATGAAATGTTTCAAATATGCATTTCCATATCATTTAGTATAATAAACTGCTTCTTCTCAGACTCTTTTTTTTCTTGGGAAGAGAGTTCAAAGCATAAAGATGAGAAAGTAAAAATATGCAATATTTATAGATACTTTCCCAAATTTAAATTGTTAGTCCCAGTGAAGTCACTGGGAGTCTTAAGATTTAAACAGGAGCAGGAACGGGCACTTGTTTGTAACCTACTTGTGGTTTCAATAGCCTGTAAACTTAAAGTAGAAAACAAATTGGAAGGAGTTTTAAATATAACTATTCTATCGTATTTTATTTGTCAATAGACAGTGTAGATAGTGGGTTATGAGATGCTATATAAGAGATGTTATTACTATTCATATAGCAAAATTTCCCACTAAAGTATACTAAAATAGAGTATCGGGTGGGCACATTTAAAAAAAAATCCACATAATCACTAAATGCCCCATTATGAGAGGTATAAAAATCCCACTTCTTTGTTTTTCTATTTTCTTTAATTTATAGTATTTGTTTTAATTTTTGCTAGTCCTAATTTGGAAGTGTTCTAAAAACAGTAGTTTAAAACAGAAAATTTCAATGATCACTCTTTCTACAAGAATAGAATTTATAAATGGAGAACTTTTCTCAAAGTATAAAACCCACATTAAGTACAGTTGTACGGATTTTAAAGGTGACATAATTGTGTTTACACAGAAAAACACTTATGTTAGAACAATAAGTTTTTCACAGTCACGCAGGTATCTTTAAACCTAAAATTACCATTCCAACCCAAAGAATTCAGTAAATTACTAAGGATCCTCCAAATTTGTTGGTTAAAAAGTGCCATAATGAATGGGTTTTATTTTACTGTAATTTGGAGTAAAGACGCAATGTTATAGAAAAGGTCTTTATAACAAAGGTGACCAATACGTGGAATAAATATTAAGTTGCTTAAATATTTAATTTTTTTACTTCAAAAATGTGTGCACCCGTGAATCGCATCCATCTGCTTGCTATTATTCATGAAAAATATTTTCTGTTCATATGTGTTAGCTTGCCGTTCCAAAGGTTCTGTTATTATAATGAGAATAAGGTTGAATTATATTAGCATATCTAGCCATGAAAAGGGGCAAGGGGTATGTTTAATAATCAGATTGTTAGGCAAGATGCTTGCTATGAAAGGAGGTTGTGTCTAACAATCTTTGTAACTTAATATAAAAACATATGTAATATCTTACTTTTGACAGAATCAAATTATTTTATTAATGAGAACTCCCCCAATTTTAAGCACCCTAATATCAAAGTATTCCCATTTTATATTGTACAGTTTGTTCTAAGCCTGAATAGATGTCTTTGAACATGGATCCACTTAAACAGACCCGTTTTAATTTGAACAACAATTGTATATTCCAGCAGGTTTCTGTTTTACTTCCTAAATTTAGATGGAATTAATTTACCTCTGTGGGATTACATTTTATAGTACCTTTGATTTTAAAATAGCCATTTTATTGTCTATTAGATAAAGCGACAGACGCTCTAAGGTTTTTTATGTCAAATGTTTCTCTGACTTTAAAAATCAGAAAGTAAACAGCACATTAAATGACAAAGCTATTGTGTTTTAAGTGACTGAAATCAGTATTTTACAGTCTTATTAGTGATAATTGTAGCCATGTTGGTCCCAGAATATTAGCGAGAGGATGGGTGAGGTAGCATAGCTCAAAAGCTTGTCTCTTTCACCAACAGAAGTTGATCTGATAAGATATTACCTCACCCACCTTGTCTTTTTATTAATGATAAAGCATTTAGATTAAGGCATTTGTGGGAGACAGAACAGAACTGTTCATCACTGTCATTTTTATAGACTTTAGTCATTTAAATGCATTATGGCACTGTTCACAGAAATACATTTTGGGTGTAGGCTACATGCAGTTAGAATGGCTCTGATGCAGAGGGAATATAGGCTTAACATTGACATGATCACCTTCTTCATTGCTTTTTAAATCTCAGGGGTGAAATCCTAGCTCCAGTAACATCAGTAAGAGTGTTGCCATTAACTTTGATTGAGCCCCAGAATCTCAATTGTTGTAGCAACCAGGAGCATATGTTGTTGGAGACCCTGGTTTGAGTGTGTCTTTCCATAGTGGTAGAGATGTGAGGTATTATGGAAATACTGTGTGCTAACCTCACCTTCTAAAAGTACCCCCTACCATTTGTGAGAGATTGATGATAGCCTTGCAGGGATTAACCTCTTCTGCGTGTATGAGGAGTAGTACAGGAGTGGCAGCAGCAACTCAAGGGTGTGAAAGGGAAAATATACTATTATTCTGTAATGGAGTAATCCTTACCCATGTTACAGAGTTTGGAAGAGTCATGTCTGCAGGAAAAGCTAAAAACAGGTAACTGTAAATGTTCAGAATTTCAACTTGGCTAAACATGATGAATGTTTGGTTCACTGACGTGTCAAATTTGCTTTCTTGTCTTAACAGCTCTCTAATTACTCATTTGTAAAATACAAACCCTAGAGGACAGGTTTGAGAATATGAAATTATATGCTGTATGGTGCTTAGAGATGCTTTCATTTAATTTTCATCCTTATTAATGCCCTGCTTCCTTGTTTACAGGACTTTGCCTCCCGAGCTAAACTGGCCGTCCAGAGCCTGGTGCAGAAGGTTGGATTCTTTGGCATTTTGGCCTGTGCTTCAGTAAGCTCATTCCAATAACAAAGTTTGTGGGCGGGGAAGTGTCACAGAAATGTGAATAATGTGTCTGGAATTTATTACTTACCTGCAGTGAAATAATACTAAATTGTCCGTGGCTTAGTCTGGTTTTTAGAAACCCAGTTTTAATCTTCACGTTCATCAAACAAGAGCTGTTCTCCATAGTGGGGGAATGGAGTGTTGTTGGTGGTAATTATTATTTGTGGTAGCACATAGGAGCTGCAGTCATGGACCAGAACCCATTGTGCTAGGCAGTGTATAAACACAGAACAAAGATGGCCCCTGCCCCGAAGAGCTTAATGTTTTGTTTCCTTGATGTCTCAGCTCTCATCAAAAACTAAAAACTGAGCTGGATTAATGAGGCAGTGAGAACAAAACAAGGGAGATGCATTCTTTCAAGGAAGATTTTTAATAAATTTAAGAAAGCCCAAACAACCCACAACTCAGGGCTTTCTTATAAGTTTCAGGATAGCTTGTTGCTATCCACAAGATGCAGTGATTAGTTATATGGTAAAGCTTGTTACAGTGAAACCTGATGCATATTGTGATGATGCTGCTTCCTAAGAATTGGAAAGATTTATGGTCTAGTGTGCCTCATATTGAAGTTTTCAGCAGAACAAACACAGGTATTCTTAAAAGCAAGTTAAATGCCCATAAACCTCTACTTTATAACAGGCAGCAGACTCTGTATTAATCTGTATAGGTCTTGTCTAATGCAAGCATGTGCCATGTTGCCCACTATCCTGTGATTAGGGAGTTAGCAGGCCTGCTGCTCCTATCCTGGTTCCCTAGAGTGAACCAGTTCTGATTTCTGGGGGTTTAGCCATAAAGAACCTGTATCCTGGTTTGTTATGGCTGGTTCAGGCACTACCCACAGGTCCTGTTAAAGCCTTGTTTTCATTTCTGAAGATGTCCCTGTGCTAATAGTTCTCTGCACTTCTACATGATGTACAAGAAGCAGGAATAGAAACATCCCCCAAATACATAAAACTGCCCATACAAAACACAACCAGATTAAAATAGTCACCCACAGTGATTCCCCAAAATGTGTCCACAAGACATTCCTTCAGCTCACCCTATCCTAAGGAGCCTGAGAGAGCAAATGGACTAAGGAATGGGAGTGAATTGTAAAGTCACAGCCCTCTAGCAGGCTCCTGCTCTCTAAACCAGGGGGCTGTTGGTTCAAGCACCTCCACTTATGGTTCTGGTAGTGCCCTTACACAGGGGAAGCAAAAGTAGCAATGTCTCACACCTTGTAGGGTTTTAATCCAGCACCTTAAAATTCACTCTGAAAGCAAACTAGAAGCTGGATTTTTTTTTTCTCCCTGCTGTTGCTGACAGATGTGATTATTGTTGGGGGTGCATTGCATATTCCAGTTGAGACCTGTTGCCATCCTTCTGCATCCCCTGTGATCCTAGCTTCTTTATTAGCTTCCAGAACTTTAGAGGTGGCGAATAATAATTTGTAAAAGTTAGGGCCCTTATGTTTACTTGCAAAGATCAATCTGATTACAGTTCCTGGCATGACCCTTATTACCTTGTAGCTGGCAACCTCCTTCCCATTTGTTAAGCTTTTGAACTCTATAGTGTTCAGAGTGTAGGTCAGGGGAGTCGATTATTTTTTGTCAGGGTCCACATTTCTTCATCCAGGTATAGTCAAGGGCCAGACTCCAGAGAAAATAATACAAAAAAAAACAAAAAAAAATCATAAATAAATAGAAAGATTTAGGGGTCCATTAAAAGGGATCTGGCTGTCCAGATTTTTCGTGCAGTCCACCTATTTACTATCCCTGGTTTAGCTCTAGATCACCGAGCTGAATTATGCTCTTCAAATCTCTCAAATTAGTACGCCTTTAGACTGCACCATTGTCAGGTCTGACGCATCATTCTGCAGTCACTATCTCGTAAGACATTACTGAATAAACTAATTTGTCTGTTTTTCTCATTAAACAAAGCAATTTCAAAATGGTAGAGATGACTTATCAGAGCAGTTGGATTGGGTGAAATGTGGATATCTGGAAAGTAGGAGAATATGTAAACCTGGGGGGAGAATGTTACTTAGTGATGCTTCTGCTTAATGTTCAGTCATTTTCTTAGTGTAATGCAGTAATACCAACTCAGGTGCATTGTATCTTAAATGTGAGTTAGCCTCTACCAGCTCAGTCTGCTTCTGCTGAATAGTATGTGGTTTGTTTTCATGCATGTGGACGTTCTGGATGACTCTAGTGTACACTAAGGGATGAATTCCTTTTTAAAATGTAATTTTTGAATTTTGCTTATGAAAACATTACGAAGACAGCATGCTATAAACTTCTCATGGGCAATGCTTCAAGGAAGACATTGGACAGTTCAAGGGAGGCTTGCTTTGTTGACCAAATCATTGTGGACAGCAGAGACTCCTTGCATTTTTTCATTCCCACCACAGGCTCCCTGTGTGCCCTCTTCTCATCCTTCTCTATTTCAGGGACTCCCTGAATCTCCCCATGCCAGGGGCTCTGTCTCTCCTCCCTCGCCTCACCTTGCCACATGCAAGGGGCTCTGTGTGCATCTCCTTTTCTCCCCATCATTCTTACTACTTTTGTTTTCTGGCTGGGAGATAAGTCATTCAGGGTCTCGACATTGTAAACTGTATTGGGAAGATATGCAGAGTTGAGATGGGGGTGGGGGGCATTGTGCAGCGTTCCAAAATTATCACATTAGAGACACACTCAACTCCATATTTGTGTCAAAAGCCTCACAAGCTCAGCCAACAGGGCTCATTGGCCACAGTTTTATTCAATGGCAATTTGAGATGAATCATTGCTACTATCCTGAAGATAATTCCTGCAGCTCTTATTTTGAGGAAGCTGCAGCCACTTGGCCATAAATAGTATTTGCCCAGTGTTCCCAAGTTATTCTGTTGTTGGACAGGACTATGCTCACAGTTGGGCAAACCTGGGGAGTCTGACATCTTCACTAGGGGAAAAAAGCATGTTTTTAACCTGTTTGTTAACTTGTAACCCTAGTATGGACAATGCAATCTGTAGCTTTAACCCATAGAATAAACCTCATCCAGCTAACACGTGTTAAAACTATAAATTACCTTGTCTGTATTAGAATGTTAACACGTTAGTTAACGCATGTTAAAACACACACATTTTCCTAGTGAAGACAAGGCTATATAGCAGGATTAACCTAGCCTGTGATATCCGCTATCCCTACCTAACCTCCAAGGACTACCCACCATTGGATTCCATTAATAGCAATTTATTTGGCATCCTATCAACTAACTAGCCCTTTACCACTACTTTGAGCCCAGATAGCTTGTCTAGATCTTCGAGGGCTCTCCAGTTTATGAACTGAATAGCAAAAGCAGCCCTAAGAGATCCCTACATTAGGCCAGTGAGAATTTCACATCCTGTGGTTTGCTTTTTCTGACGTCCCGTGTTAAGACAGCACATGTTAGCTAACACATTTTAACTAACCTGTTTTAACACCCTAACGTAGACAGGTCAAATTGTATTTTAACAGTTGTTAGCTGGTTGAGAGAAACCCTAGGTTCCCCCTAGCTAACGCATGTTCAGATACAACTTGCCCCATCTATGCTATGGTTTTCATGTAAGGCTGTCAAACAATTAAAAGAAATAATCGCAATTAATTGCAGTTCTAATCTACAAATGTAAAATTTGTTTTTGTTACATAACTGCATGCAAAAACAAAACCATGTAAAACTTTAGAGCTGACAAGTCCACTCAGTCCTACTTCTTGTTCAGCCAATCACTAAGGCCTGGTCTACGCTGGGGGGGGAATCGATCTAAGGTACGCAACTTCAGCTATGAGAATAGCAGTACTTGGGGCACCTTAGATTTGAAAATGTAGAAAAACATCCAAAAATATCTATTATAAATTTAAATTGGTATTCTATTATTAACAGTTGATTAAAACTGCAATTAATTGTGACTTTTTTTAATCTAGTTAATTTGTTTTGCGTTAATCGCTTGTGTTAACTGCGATTGACAGCCCTGTTTTCATGTAATAGTTACAATGTATTGGCTAATGTAATTTTAAAAAAAAAACCCACCTTATAAACTAGTGTAAACTTGTTTTGTGAGAGCAATACATCTCTAGACTAGGTAAATCCAGTTAGTAGCCTTCTATAAGTAAGATGGTCATTAGTGTGGTCAAGATGCAGCTTAAGCAAAGACGGGCATGAGTGGATACCATTTGATGTGTCTTGCCTTCCTAGGAAAGTGGTGGGTGCTCATAGAAACTTCTAATTAAACTTGGAATTACTAGTCTGTAACAACCTGTTAAATGTTAACCATATAAATTAAAACTTGAAATCTTAAATGTCACTTTTATAGCTCTCTCAGTATCTACTTTGCCTATATTTATTTGTTCTCGTAACAAAACAGGGAAAGCGCAAATACTGTGGGGAAAATAGCAGTGTGATTCACTGCTACTGTAAGCAAAACATCCTTGTGTGTTTACTCGTATCTGACAGATGCAGTATGGTGTGCACTGAATGTTAAGTGTCAAGTCTGGGAATCGGTTGGTCTTTTCTTGGTATTATGATCCCTTCTCTAAAATGTTCTTGAAAGTAAATAAAAATTCAAGAAATCCTTTAATTTTTAATGAAATGCTTTTGTTCTTTAAAGAAATATCTTTGCTTTTTAACAGAGTACATATGACTATAAATACCAGGGTTTTTATGCCTTTCAGATAGAAATCATTGCAGATCATTTTGAGCACTGACTCATATGAGCAACGTGCTTATCAGGGAGAGAATTTGATATATCACTCAAGCTTCTCACTGTGTTTTCTATGCTTTTCATATGGAAAACGTCTGTTACTCTTTTATCCTCAGATTAAAAGAATAGCTATCAGGGTGGAATTGTCTGGGACATTGTCTAGCTGAAGCTTAACGATTTAAGTTATGGGCTATAATATTAACATTTTTGTGTGTATTAAGGCACGATTTGGGGATGGTTTTGAGAGAGGGGGAGGAGTTCATTTTTCAAAGTTTGAGATATTATTAATTAAAGTGAATTTAATGTTGGGTTCTGGTTCTTTTTTCTTTCCCTTATACTTCATAGATTCCAAATCCTCTGTTTGACCTGGCAGGGATAACATGTGGCCACTTTCTGGTTCCCTTTTGGACCTTCTTTGGTGCAACCCTAATTGGGAAAGCAATCATTAAAATGCACATCCAGGCAAGTACATGTTACACCTCTTATAAAACACCGGGGAGGATTTTTTAAAGTAAGAATTGCACCATTATCTCTGCAGTATTTCAGTGAGCTGTGATTGGAAATTCATTTGGTGCAACAGATTTAAAATAAAGGTTCTGTTAGGGTTACTGAACTCAAAACTTGGGCAACTAAATAATCTATGGCTATAAACTAATAAACTCACCGCCTACACCACTCAGGAAATTGGTGGTTAGCCAAATTATTTACCTAGGGTTTTTATCAGACGGAAAAGGCTTCATACTCATAATGAACTTGCCTTTTTGGTAACACACACATGTTCATTTTCAGAGAGCGCTGGAATGAGCGTTTATCAGTCAGGAAGTATTTTTAAATGTTCACTTTCACTTGAGGTAAAGTTTTAAAGAAAATCCCAGTCCTTTCATCCCATTGATGCCTGGTCTCTGCTGAAGCCAACCTGGGGGCATGTGTTGGGACACACTGGCCATGATTTTCAAAAGTCACTGGTTATTGAGACACTTCAAAGAGGTCTGATTTTCAGTGAACAGGTACTTAATATTTTCTGAAAATGAAGTCCTTTCATTGTGCGTTAAGTTGAGCACCCAAAATCACTGGTCGCTTCTGAAAATTTTGAAGTAACTGGAGGAGCTACTCACCATTCTGTTCAATGCAAGATAAATTGGTATGGTATTCAGTTACATTGTAGTTATTGATGATGCTACAGTTGAATATATGATGTGTCCCTAACTATGTCATCTGCTTTGTAATCACTAGAACAAATGTCTTTTGATTCAGCATCCCCAGTAATAATGCAGTGGCCACAGTTGTATAGCTTGAAAATCTTTATTGTCACTTCATTAAAGTAGTGATAGTGGGTGGCTGCATGAGATTACTTCTTCAATACACCCAACCAAAAGGATCTCATCCCAGACCAGGACTCTGTTAAAGGGGTATTCCTTCCACCTTATTTTTTGCTGCCTTTTTTTATCCTACTTTGCATAGTCTTAAAATGGAGGCCAATTCATGGGTCAGAAATCATGATGTTGAGTTTATTGTGAAAAGACTTGCATTGGTCAATGCCGTTTTTACTTGCTCAATGCCGTTTTTGCCTTCCCTGGAATTTTTTATTTAACTAAGATTGAAGATTTATTTATGCTGACTTGGAAAAGACTAAAAATAAAATAGTATCTGTGTGAAGTAATTCCCAAGATTTTTTTTTTAATCTGTACAGTGAAATTAATTTGGAGAGAGTTGGCTATTCTCCATTGCTTTGCAGTGTAATTTCCAGTGATCTATTCTGGATAGTGAAAGCAACAAATATTCCCAGTGCCTTGTGCACTTACTTGGTAAACCCTTTTACATCATAAATGTGTTTGGCTATTAGAACTACATTTTGTGTACTGTTTTCTTTCAAGCAAGTTGTTGTGCAATAATCTGGACTTGATAGTGATCTTGCTGTAAAGTGGAATTTTAGGAAATGCAGTGGTCATGGAAAAAGAGTTATAATAAGATTGGAGAGAAAGCCAATGGGTCCATAAGCATTGCCATTTTATAGTTGCATTTAATTGGCCCTTTTAATCTGGACCATCGAATCAATTCACACAGTTCTATTAATTTCCTTATTCAGAGTCCAGTTAATTCACTTCTCATTAGATCATACATACAGTGATTTAGTGGAGACTGTACAAACACTATATATCATCTCACCTACACTCTGTAAAAGGGCAAGCTATCAAATCTGACAAAAATGGGATTAACAATGGCTACATTAACAGAACTTTAACTGTAGCAAGTAGAGTGATACAATTATCATGAGGCTTTGGGTTTATCATGTAGGGCATTTTATCTACTTAAGGTCACCTTTCTGTCACTGAAATACATTCTTATTTTAAATTTTTAACTTTCAATATCTAGGACAATTGTCTCAACCAGGTCACTGCCTCTAAAGGGAGAAATAGTCTAATTTTCAAAGGCAAATTTGGATACCCATGGTCTCATTTATTTTGTCCCTAAATTGGTAGGTCTTTGTTCCTTACACTGCCCTTCTAGGGGATAAGGACTTGGGACCAAAAAGATTTACTATCTTTCACTTCCATGCAATTTTGAAATTTTATTCACCCAAACGTATGTTTGTAATGGGGACATAAATTTGTCTTTCTGCACAGAGATGAGTGTTTGTTTTTTTTCCATGAAAACACTGATGGAGTTGAGTGACTTTGAGCTTCTGGGAACATAGGTTTAGGGAGGATGTGAAATGGTTAGCACACAGGCTGGAAAAACATTGCAAGAAATTAAATGTATGAGGAAATAGAATAACAGTCTAAAAGTAACTAGTACTTCTCTGTTCTGCCTCTTTTATTGAAAAGGGTGATATTGAAAAACAATGATACTCAAAGAAAAGTTAAGGGAAAATTATCTGTAAGTGCAGAAGAAGTCATTTAATTGGAAAGGAACATAAGTTGTCGTACTCCATTGTCCTTGCTTCCCTTCTGATTAAACATTTCTCTAACTGATGTTTTCCTTCCTACAGAAACTTTTCGTTATTATAACATTCAGCAAACATATAGTGGAGCAGATGGTGTCCCTAATTGGGTGAGTAATTCTATAACTGACTAATACCTTCAGAGTTTGAGTGGAAAAATACTAAGGAGTCCAGTCTAGTATGCTGAAAGTCAACTTTCTGCTAAAGGAGGCAGTGCTTTACTCTCAAGAAGTGCAAATTTTGGCCTGCAAAGCTGGTTTAGATTTTATCTGAGCTGTCATTTCTTATCCCAAAGGTTTCAACTACCTCAAGCGATACCATAACAGTTTGGATAGATGTAGTATGTACATACCACGTTCTTATTATGAATTAGTGACACTGCTAGCTCAAGTTCTGCAGTATAATCTGGTGGCTTTCTGTGATGATATACTGTGACTCCCTATCAGAAAATGAATGAACTGTCACTACTTACAATACATAGTATTCACATGTAGCTAAAGGTGGAGGCCCTTAGAAGAGACATTCCATATATTTTATTATATGAAATACCTTCTAAAATGTTAGGATGAAAACCTGGACATAGCATTGTAATCTTCTCTATTACAAAGAAACTTTTTTCATTAGAGAAAGTTGCAAGCTGTTCAGGGATAAACTGTTCCTATTTTGAGAAAATACCTGTCTTTTTCCAGACTAGTGTGTTTCTTAGGAAATGATTCAGACTTGTTTTAAGCTAAGATTTCATTTAAATGTCAGGGGAAGTAGAGCAAGAACACATGTAATACCCAGATTAAAAAAAAAAAAAAGATAATTTAAAATACAATGTAAGAATGTATTGGCATGATGGGATTTAATACTGATTGAAAAGTATATTTAATCATGCATTGAACTTCACCATGTCACTTGGGAGATTTACCCATTCAGACAAAAATGCTGTATGATTTCAAGAGCCCAAGTCAATCTGAACATCCCTTATCGGCAATCTAACAAATACGTTCCCAACACAGCCTCTCCCAATACACAGCATTAAGCAGTGTATAAAACTACTTGAATACAAACAAAATATGCAGTTCATTTGTCTCGGTATACATGACTTAGTGCAAATCATCCAGTATTGCATCACTAAATTGTGCTTAACTGTTCACAAGAAACATTTGTGTGCTCAAAGACAAATGTTGCAGACTTTTTTTAATAAATTGTTCAGACTGCTCTGACATTAGAAGAGGTGGTTTTCATTTTTATCAAACAGTGGTTTAAATACAGTATTTCATCTGATGTCTGATATACATTAGGTGTTAACAATCTGATTTCAAAATCAATTCTAAAGATGTGTTTTTACTTGCTCCTTAAGGACTTTCACTCATTTTTGAGGACACATGATGATAGCCAGGACTCCTTTTGCTGTCTTATAGTTGAATACTTTTTTGGTGTTTAAAAAAAAAAGTCTCAAGAAGAGTTTCTGGATAGGAGTGTCTGGAAATAATTGCTATTTAAATATGTAAACTTGAAGTAGTAATGTTATACAAAGAAATAGGAGTGTCTGATGCAACATTCTTGGGCACTTCACTGATGGAACAGATCTGATTTTATTGCTTCCTGAGTTTTTCATTGGGAGTCTGGATTGTAACAAACTTCAAAATGAATGTTTTGTTTTTAATATTCCTTTAAAAAAATGCTACTGGTTAGAAATCATTGTCTTTTTGACATTAGCCACTCCAAGCTGATTTGCTTTTTATCTTTGATCAACACTACTGCTGAGTAAGGTATATTTCCAAAGACTTCCTCAAATGCAATCTTTGGGCCAAAGCTAGTTTTTTCCTACTTCATCTGTCTTGGAGATAGTTTTTCATCAAATTACTTTTGAACATATTCACAAGATTTCTGCTGGATTCAGATTTTTATTAGACAGTTGATGTCAGAATTCAAAAATGTTCTTGGGAGACAGTAAGTTTTTTGGAATGTCCCAGTATCCTTGACTTTTCTCAAACACAGTCTGCTAGCATTACCTCATCAATTTCTCTCTAGAGTAGTATATGAAACACTTAAGCAATAGCTTGCATTAGAAGTTCTTAATCATTATTAAGTACAAAGAGAATACTCAATGATGAGTAACATTAACCTTTTAAAACACATTTATTCCATTAGTTTGACTTGAGATAGTTTGTAGTTCTGAGATGTTGCCTTTTGCAAAACAGTGTCTAACCAGAAAGATTTTTTTAAAAGAAAATTTATGTACAGGATTATCAACGCCTAGATGGAAGATTAAGTTGAATTGTAAGGAGAGAATTATTAACGTCCTTGAAATTGTTGTGATTTTATGCACTAGACCATATTCTCTCTGATAAATAGATGAGTCTTAATCTTTAATGAAAAACAGAGCTGCGTGCAACTCTTTTTTCCTTAGGATTGCAATTGTTTACTGATATTACCAGAGTCTGTGTTCATTGTATCCTGAACTTGCAAAACCATCCCTTTAATACAGTTCAGGATGCTTTGGTTTCACAATTTTATTATGTAGAAAGTTTTTCTACAACCCACCCAAACGCTTCAGGATTAAAAACAATTACATAAATCAAAAGCTGAAAGCTATGGAGAGATTTAGCAAGGGAAAATGTTGTCAACCAAGTTTTGAAATAAAATGGAGAAGTCTGAGGCACGAAGACCTTAGGGCTAGTCTACACTTAAGGGTTATTTTGGATTAAGATAGGGCGTGAATTCAAAGTGCAATAGCTATTCCCCATGTGGACACTTGTATTTTGGAAGAAGAATGTGTTTTTCCAGTTTAGCTTAATCTACTTCCAAAGTGATATTAATTTAAATCAGAAAAAGGTGCTCTTATTCTGAAATAAGAGCATCCACATGGAGAGCTGTTCTGGAATAGCTCTTGTGGAACAGCTGTTCTGCTCAGCGTCCCCATATAGGCAAGTCTAACTGGCAGCAACAACAGAGAAAATGGCTATCACACCAACTGAGCCCCAGGTTGTGTGGAGGAGCACCCAGGAAAGGAGAATGGTGCTAGCTGAAAAGGATAGAGCACAGATAATAAGAGAGAGCCCTAAAAAGTTGGAGCAAGATCACAGAGGATTTTAAGCACAAGGAGGCTAGTTTTCAACAAAATCAATGAGTTAGATTATTTATTTGTATTATTGTAGAAGCCCCAGTCATGGCCTAGGACCTCATTGTGCTAGGTGCTGTACAAAGAAAATGGCAGTCATTTCCCCAGAAAGATTCCAGTCTAAATGAATGGGGAGCAAGTGAAGTTGTTTTAGAATGGGGGATAGTGTACTTGTACTTGGTTGTATGTGCAAGAAGGTGGGCACCAGTATTCTGCACGTGCTGGAGTCTGGGTTGCTGCTGAAATTCAAAGTGAGGTCTGAGGTGAGAAAAGGCAGAAGGCTGTTGAAAGACTGACAGGGGGAGCCTCAGATCACTCAACTACCAATGCTATCAGCTAATGATCTGGAGGTTGCAATGTTGCTGTTTAGAGAGGGCATGTTTTTTGCTGGGGTCTTACAGATACAAAGTGAGGAATGGAGGATGCTGTCAAGGGGGCAAGATGATGCATTAACTATTACTTTTGTATTCTCTGACTTAAAGAGGAGGTTAGCTTACTAAGCAGCCATGTTACATACTTTTTGTACTAGTTTTAGGCCACAATTAACCAATTTTAAAATTGTTTAATTAGTAGCTATATTGTGGGTTTCCTTTTGTTTTTTTTAATCTTTAGATTTAATTGTTTTACCTACAGCTGCATGAATGTTTACGAAGTCACTGAGCATATTGCTTTTAAACATGATCACATTTGACTTTGAAGTGGTGATTTCAAATGGGCACTAGGAATTCCCAGAAAGCTATTAAAGAAATATTACTCAAAACGAACCATATAAAGAACTTTGGCAAGCTGTAACATTGCTGAACGATTTATCAGAAAGAAAAGTCCACCCTTTGGTTTTATCCGGCTGTTAAGGAGTTGCCATTTCTTAGTGATCAAAAGAGAGGACAGAAGGAAAAACTTCATATGTGTTCTAGGTTCCTGCTGGGAGTTCTGAGCTCTAGCATAGTGCTGTGTAATGTTAAATGCCTGCCAAGGTTCACCCCAGAAGTAGCTGCACTTTCATAATAAGTGAAGTTTTTATTACATATATAGATCGTAAAACCTGTTGTTAAAACACTTCAGCATCCTTCAGGAACCTTATGCAAATGATCCTCATTGGACCTTGCCAGTAGGAAGCTCATTCTAAACTCAAGCAGCAAATGCTGTCCTCATAGTCCGGCTGCCTAAACAGTACGAGAGATGTGGCCTGTCTTCTTTTCACAGGAAAAGGGTTTTTTGTATGTACAGTATATGTTCCTATGATGATCAGGATAAGGTATGGACAACATTTGAGCTGGGGAAATCCATACACCTGCTCCATTTGACAGTCACATCTAAAAATAGTGCCGGAGGAAAGTAACTGTTAATTAGTTGCAAAAGACAAACACAAAGTGAGGTCTGTTCAGTCTGTGATATTTATGCAAAAATGTAGCCTGTAGCACCCCTTAGCAGTTTAAGGGCTAAACTGTCCATGCCCTGTCCTGCAGATTAGACTTGTGACTCCCATTAATGCGACAGCGAAGTCTGATCCTGAAGGTATAGGTCTGAAAATCTAACCCGAAGTATCAAATACTTCTTCTGAGCAATTTCTCAATCTAGGGTTTCACCTGGGCCAATTTTTGATGCTTTAAAGCCACATAGGCCAGTTGGAATTTGACTAGTTTGCGCTAGTAATTAAACAGCTTACATGAAACCAGCCTCTATTCATACTTGAATCACTGACTTTGTGAACTAATGGTGTGCTGCTCCTTGTTACGTTACAATTCACAACGCAACCCACTGACTCAGCAGCAAATTAGTTGTAATTGACTCTTCTGACTTTATCTGTAAAGGGCATTGTGTTTTCCTCTTGACACAATTTTTTTCTCAAAAAATGTGTCAAAAAACTTCAGCCACCCAAAAGGTTTTTATTTTTTCCTTTTAAGTTTTCCCAAAAAACAATCTTTTTTTTTTAAAAGATTAGCAATGGGGACAATGATAGAAAAGGCCACACTATAGATTAACTATCTTTTCATGCAG